GCTGCAAAAATTGTCTGTTAATAAGATGACCAAACCACAATTAACCTTAAGATGCACGCTACAATTTCACACATTTCTTTCCATGACCTGTTGCATATCAATGTCACGGTCACAAGAAAACAGCAGGAAAGTATATACAAACTAGAACTTTTCCTTCATTTGTAGGTTTTCATTATTGACTATAAAGAACAAAAATAGTTTGCAAGGCATTGTTAATATGTGTTAAAAAATGATGGGTGTTCCCTTGCGAAGTCTTACATTTTATTATGAACAGCAAGTGATGAGGATGGCACATAAAATTTAGTTGATTTTTTTCCTTCTATATTTTTGTATGTGTATTTTGAGTATTTGTATGTGTGTTTGTTAAGTGTTGATTGTATATGTGAAGCACCACGGCAGTCTGAACTAATTTTCCCAAGGGGATTAATAAAGCTCTAAACTAAAAAAAAAAACGAATAATGTAAACCAAGTCAGGTTAATTATGTGTTTCTGTCTTCTATCTAACAAGCCATCACTATATGATACATGTTTGTATATGGCATACATAAATGTTTGCAGGTGGCACTTGGTTGAACAGCTTGAGGATCCCAGCAGCTCCTCAGACTGGGAAAACAACTCCAGATGTCCAAAGCAGGAAAAGTGCACAATAGAGTCTATAAGGAAACAGTGAACAAGCATGAGGGGGGAAAAATAGGTAGTCAAGAAAAGAGGATGAGAATAGGGAAAATGGGCCCTGAATGAGCAGTCATTTCCTTTATATAGCTGAATTCAAATGACACCTCAAAATTCCTGGAAGTTCCTGACTGTCTGAAAAGATTTTATTTGGAGACCGTGTTGAGAGAGAGACCTCATGTCATCCGAAAAAAATACTCACTTGGGAATGCCGATGGGAATTTTGAGAGTTAACAGAACTGGAGGGGATCTGAAGTGCCAAGGGCATGGAAAAAAAAGATAGAAAAAAAATGTGACTCAAGTCAGGGGAACAAAACGACAGGAAAAGTGGAGCGATAAAGAAAAGCTTGTGTGTGAGGAGGGGCTATTTTAAGAAATGGCTTTCCGGCAGGTGAGAGAACTGAAAAAACCTTTCAGGAACAAACAGTTGGTTGAGGCGCAATAAGGAGGTGAGTCATAAGAAGAGGGAGGTACTGAAAGTATGAGTGCATTGGTGTTAGAGAAAGAAACACATAAAATACATATAATCATCATACAGTAAATGTTATCTGTACCAGTTTAAACAGAGATGGAAAGTTGTCTATTAAGAAGGAAGGTATAACTACAACTATATAGACTATATATAGCCTATATAGATTGTAAATCCTCTGTAATTGACATTGAGGACACACCTTCTTACTTAACCCCGCCCCCTTCCCGCTAATATATAAATACAGAGGTGGCACAAGGAGATTTTAGAGCTTACATGCTTTTCTCAAAAGACACTCATAGACAGAGTGGATCATATTTAATTATTCACATCAGTGCGATATTGCTTCAAAGGATTGATGGTCAGGACAAAAAGCTTTCTCAAGAGACTCCCTTCCATGCAGGGTAAGTTTTTGTAATTTTGTAATATGTAATATTATTGTTTATATATATATTGGTGTTATCATTGTTAACTATAAACCATAAAAATATTTTAATTACTTGAAGTAAAATAAACAAATAAAATAACTGAAATAAAATTGATAAAAAAACGTAATCTTATTTATTTCAGTTTAGTTGCCAAGGCATCATTTCTCGTTTCATTTAGTTACTAAATTTTTTTTTTCTGTTGAACACACAAGAAGACATTGTGAAGAATGAGGGTAACAAAACTGTTTATGGTAGCCATTGATTTCCGTGATATTTTTTCCATTCTATGGAAGTCAATGGCTACCGCCAACTGTTTGGTTACCAACATTCTTCAAAATATCTGCTTTTGTGTTCAACAGAAGAAGGAAACTCAAACAGGTCTGGAACAACATGAGAGGGAGTAAATAATGACAGAATTTTCATTTTTTTGGGTGAACTATGCCTTTAAGTACTTAAATAACTAAAACTAAATAAAATGAACACTTAATAAAAAATATATAGACATACTAAAAAAAATAAAACTTTAACTAAATTAAAATGAAAATAGGAAATAGAAAAATAAAATGTAATTTAAAATATTGACAAAACTATGTCATGATACTGCAATAACACACACACACACACACACACACACACACACGTGTGTGTGTGTATGTGTATAAGCCTACATATTTTGGCCTAAGGTCTAAATGTTTATATATAATAAATTTATATTTATTATAAATTGTGTTTAATTTACATCTCTATAGGTCATACCATTATGGAAGTGGCTGTTTTGTTGTTGCTGACTATACCGATGAGCACAACCACACCAGTGAGACAGACACAGAGGTGTGTGCACTTTCACCACACACAACCACACACACACACACACACACACACACACACAAACACACACACAC